TACATATTTTCACACAACATACTAAAATTTCATCAACCAATCAAAATATTTTATGTAGAATTTAATCTAACAAAAAAAAATTTTTTTCGATTTCGTCGTCTTTAAAGTAAACAACAAAAATATTTATAATAAAATAAATAGATAAATAATCATGGGTAACCAAAAGAAATTTTTTAATTAATTTAATCAATTGTTAAATCAAACCTATAATCAAAAAATTTTGTTAAATAATCTAAAGGTAAAGGTAAACCAAGAGGATTACATAGTGCTCGTAAGTTACGTACTCATCGTCGTGAAGAACGTTGGGCTGATAAAGCATATAAAAAAAGAGCTTTGGGTACCGCCTTTAAATCTTCACCTTTTGGTGGTTCTTCTCATGCTAAAGGAATTGTTCTTGAAAAAATGTAAAGATATTTTTTATTTTATTTTTTGTATAAATGATATATGATCATGATCTAATTGTTTTAACCTTTCTCTGTCACTCACTCACTCATAAATAATTGTATACAATTATTTGTAGTGGTGTGGAAGCCAAGCAGCCTAATTCTGCTATTCGTAAATGTGTTCGTGTACAATTAATTAAAAATGGAAAGAAAGTAACAGCTTTTGTCCCTAATGATGGTTGTTTGAATTATATTGATGAAAATGATGAGGTTTTAATTGCTGGTTTTGGTCGTAAAGGAAGAGCTGTATGTAATTTATTGTTATTATTATTATTATAATTAAATGATTTTATTTAAAAAAACTTTATTTTATTTAGATTGGTGATATTCCTGGTGTTCGTTTCAAAGTGGTCAAAGTCTCTGGTGTATCTCTTCTTGCTTTGTAAGTTATCAATTTATTATGATCATTAATATTTATTTTTAATTAAATTAATTATATTTATATTACTATTATATAGATATAAAGAAAAGAAAGAAAAACCTAGAACTTAATTGGTTTTTTTTAAAATTTAAATGTAAATTTTCAAAAAAATAAATAAAATAATTTAATATATAATTAAAAAAATCATAATCTTTTTTCCTCTTAAAGATTTTCAATAATTAGATTTTTCTAAAAGCATTATTTGTTACATAATTGTTTATCTGGATAAAATATAAATGCATGTATGTAAAATATTAGATGATAATTTATTTATCTTTCAATATTTAAAAATGCAATAAATACATATCAACTCAAAAATTTATTTATAATA